ATCTATCTATCTATCTATCTATCTATCTATCTATCTATCTATCTATCTATCATCTTTCTATCTTATCTATCTATCTTATCTATCTATCTATCTATCTATAATCCATCTATTATTCATTCTATCTATCTATCATCTATCTATCTATCTATCTATCTATCATCTATCATCTATCTATCTATCTATCTATCTATCTATCTATCTTATCTATCTTATCTATCTATCTTATCTTATCTATCTTATCTATCTTATCTTATCTTATCTTATCTTATCTTATCTTATCTATCTATCTATCTATCTATCTATCTATCTATCTATCTATCTATCTATCTATCTACATATCTATCTATCCACCCATCCATCCATCCACCCATCTACCTACCTACCTACCTCATACATGAATACACACACACTACTTACCACACACACACACACACACACACACACACACACACCTCCAGATCCCTGGGACCTCCAGGCCTGGTGACACAACCTGGTCTTGAAGTATTTCATGAATATCAAAAGGAATGGCGCTAATCTAATTCTCGTCTTCTCCCCTATGGATGGGCCATAGCTCTATCTATGGATAGACTTGTTCCTCCCCGTCTTTTTCAAGTTGGAGGTTGTTCCATTTTGGTTTCACGTTCAGTTTGCTCTGAAAGGCATATATGGTTCTGTGTTTTGTTTGATCGCTGATCTCAGAGAAAGGAAAATAACACCTAGTTACCTGATAGGAATTTCTCAGCGCTTAGCTATGTGCTAAGCTAAGGGCCTTAAAGATAATTGACGTGGGTGCGACTTAATAATTACAGAGTTAGCTCCAGGATCTTAAATTAATATGCCATCACTCAGCCAGTTGACTCGTTCCTTGGCAAGAGTTGTTTCAGGATAGAGGAGGAATAATAGGAAGGAGATGACACCTGTCTTTTAACATCACCTTTTAGAAATGCATGCCTTGGTTTTTCATTCCAAAGTATTCAAAATCAATAGAGAATTCAGTAGGGGGGAAAAAATCAAGCTTTAAAAAGAAAAATGCAACGAGCAAAAGACACAAGTGAAGCAGAAGTGAAATAAAACATAGAACGGAGAGGCAGAAAAAAATATATTTAAAAGGTGCTCTTAAATAGATGCTTTCCAGATGTTAGGAATCTTCAGAACAGCAAGTTTTACTACACTGGCTGAGTTTTCTTTAATTCACAGGGAAAGAAGTTTTAGATACAAATTTAAGGATTTTTTTTTTAAAGGAGGGGGTAGGGGGAATAAACAGCATAAGGGACTATAAATGATCATTTTGGAAAGTTATAAATGGACTAAGGCAGAGGTCTCCAAACTTAGCAACTTTAAGACTAAGCTGGCTGGAGAATTCTGGCAGTTGAAGTTCACAAGTCTAAAAGTTGCCAAGTTTGGGGACCCCTGGACTAAGGGGGAATCCTATGGATCTGAAAATTAATTATGAGAATCCTTCCTGTGGGGAAATGTTTTGAATTCTAAAAAAAAAAAAAAAAGATAGGATGGTATTTCCAAAGTTGGTCGCTAGAGGGAAGGAACCGTTAAACCAGATTAAAATTAAAGGAGAACAACACATTTGATTTACTAATACAGTACAGAATAATTAAGGAGATGTTTTAAATACCTTCATGGTTGACATTAGGTGTCTTTGCTTTTCAGTGTCTTTTTATTTTAAAAATAAGTTGTCAGCGCTCTCTGGCTGCTGAAAAAGAAATTCTGCCATACTGCTTGCTTGTCTTACCTATGGAAAGCATGAAGAAGGTTTAAAATTCTGATAGAGGTGTCCAAAGCTTTTGGAATTGAGGGCTTTCCTGTGTAAATTCTTTCATTCTTTCTGCTGTTATATTGAAAACTGCAATTCCAACAGCTTTGGGATGAATTTTAGCGGCCCATGTTAAAGCTCAAGCTGTTTCAATTTACTTCAACTATATCTTCCCTTCCTGGAGCTCAGGATGATAGAAGAATCTTTTTCTTTTCTTTTTTTGACTCTTAGTACGTAGTCAAGGTTAACTGATTGCAGTCGGTCCAAGGACATTCAGGGAATATTCCAGAAAAGAGAGGCTGGAGTCTCGCGGGAAGTGTGCAACCAATTTTCCTATCTGGCGAGTGACTTTCTTCCTTTTATTTATACCCTCCCTGTAGTTGTGAGAAAGCTCAATGATCTGTATAAAAGCAGCGTCTCTTCGTGCCATCACCTGAACTTAAGGCTACAGAGGTGGTTCGTGGACAAGCAGAAGCTCATGGACCGCATCAACAGCATCACAGCGGAAAAGCTCATCTTCAGCCACGCTGTGCAGATGGTAAGCGAGACCTGAGACCTGGTGTTACAAGGTAGGGTGATGGCAGCAGTGGGGGCCCGGCTATGTCTCTGGGTGGAAACTCAAGAGTTTTGATCTTAAGCCAATTAGGAGAATAGCAATAGCCCTTAGACTTATGTATCGCTTCACAGTGCTTTACAGCCCATCTCAAAGCGGTTTACAAAGTCAGCCTCTTGCCCGCCAACAATCTGGCTCCTCGTTTTACACACCTCAGAAGGATGGAAGGTCGAGTCAACCTTGAGCCGGTCAGGATTGAAGTGCTGACAGTGGGCAATACTGCATTTTAATCACTGCATCACTTTGGAAGGAAGGAAGGAAGGAAGGAAGGAAGGAAGGAAGGAAGGAAGGA